TTACTGGCGATGTGCGGGGGCATGGCGAGCACCCAGCGCAGCGGCGCCGCCCGCAGGATCCGCTCCATGCGCCGGTGCTCCTCGGTCACCGCCCGCAGCCGCTCCGGGACCCGCTGCGGCTCCCACAGCAGGAACGCTGCGCCCAGGGGGTTAGCGACCCCTCCCCGAAATTTTGGGGGGATTTGGGGACCCCTCCCCAAATTTTGGGGGGATTTGGGGACCCCTCCCCAGATTTTGGGGGGATTTGGGGGAGGTTTCGTCTGGTTTGGGGAGAAAGCGCTCCGGCTCCCACAGCAGGAACGCTGCGCCCAAGGGTTTAGCGACCCCTCCCCGAAATTTTGGGGACCCCCGCCCCAAATTTTGGGGGGATTTGAGGACCCCTCCCCAAATTTTGGGGGGATTTGGGGACCCCATCCCCAAATTTTGGGGAGTTTTGGGGACCCCTCCCCAAATTTTGGGGAGTTTTGGGGGAGGTTTTGTCTGGTTTGGGGAGGAAGTGCTCCGGATTCCACAGCAGGAACGCTGCGCCCAAGGGGTTTAGCGACCCCTCCCCGAAATTTTGGGAGGTTTAGGGACCCCTCCCCAAAATTTTAGGGACCCCCGCCCCAAATTTTGGGGGAATCTGGGGACCCCTCCCCAAATTTTGGGGGGATTTGGGGGGTTCCGGGGGGATACGCTGCGGCTCCCACAGCAGGAACTCTGAACCCAGGGGGTTTAGCGACCCCTCCCCAAAATTTTGGGAGGTTTAGGGACCCCTCACCAAAATTTTAGGGACCCCTCCCCAAATTTTGGGGGGATTTGGGGACCCCTCCCCAAATTTTGGGGGGATTTGGTGGTTCTGGGGGGATACGCTGCGGCTCCCACAGCAGGAACGCTGCGCCCAAGGGGTTTAGCGACCCCTCCCCAAAATTTTGGGGACCCCCGCCCCAAATTTTGGGGGGATTTGAGGACCCCATCCCCAAATTTTGGGGAGTTTTGGGGACCCCTCCCCAGATTTTGGGGCGTTTTGGGGGATTCTGGGGGGATACACTGTGGCTCCCACAGCAGGAACGCTGCGCCCAAAGGGTTTAGGGACCCCTCACCAAAATTTTAGGGACCCCTCCCCAAATTTTGGGGGGATTTGGGGACCCCTCCCCAAATTTTGGGGGTATTTGGGGACCCCTCCCCAAATTTTGGATGATTTAGGGACCCCTCTCCAAAATTTTGGGGGTTTTGGGAAGTCCTGAGGGGTTTGGGGGGATTTTTTGGGATTTTTTTGGGAATTTTTGGGGGGATTTTGGGGGATTTTGGAGGGGGATTTTTTGGCATTTTTGGGGGATTTTTTGGCATTTTTTGGGGAATTTTGTGGGATTTTTGGGGGGATTTTTTGGGAATTTTTGGGAGGATTTTTTGGGGTGGATTTGGGGAATTTTTGGGGGATTTTGGGAAGGATTTGGGGGATTTTTTGGGGATTTTTTGGGGGGGTTTTTTGGGATTTTTTGGAGATTTTTTTGGGATGACTTTGGGAATATTTTTGGGAATTTTTTGGGAATTCTGGGGCTCTCACCGGACAGACACGCCACCACCTTGGGCACCCCGTGCTCCACCAGGGCCTCCACGATGGTTCTGGTGGCGTCCGACATCACCGTGGTGGGGCCT